ATGAATGGAATTGGGGTGTGCATTATTAAATGTGAAAATTTTTGAAATTGTGTTGGGCAGAGTATGACAATGCTTAAAACTGGGGGTAGGGAGTAGTGATATGCCAAATACAAACAACAAGAACGAAAATGCTAATATAGTGTTGTGGTGTTATAGGCAGTTGGTTTGGATTGTTATATTTAGGTATTGTTTTTTTCATATTTGCTTATCACAATCTGGTGATTTGATGTTGTGTTTAGTTTGAATGTTTCTTGATGTTATGGGTACGATTGTCTTAGTGGTGTTTAAAGAGCCGTTGAAGGTTACAGAGTGCTGAAGGTTTTTTTGAGGTGTGTTTAAGTTTTTTTAGTGGTGGCAATGTGTGTTGTTGTTTGATCAATGGTGAGAAGGGGCGAAGAGTTTGGTGTTGAACCATGTGATAGAAGATTTGTTGATATTTTGAGTGTGTATATTTAAATTTTGAGAAAAGGTGATTTTGATGAGAGTTATTATATTTTATTAGTAGAGCGCCATTCTGTTATATTTGGCCGACATATGGGGAGAGGGCCCAAAAAATCTGTTACAAAACTTTTTTTAATTGGCTAACCTTAGAAAACCTTAAATAATTGGATTATAAACACCACAACAAAAAAAAAAAAAAACGTGGGGCCTAGGAAGAAAAGGGAAATTCAACCAAAAGTCAATTAAAGCTTCACCTTCTGAGGACCATGAAAAATGCCACACTTTTGAGCTAAATTCTAAATAATCAAGCATGCAAAAAATGCTCAAAATGACAATGGCCTAGCATTGCCCTGAATTTGTTTAGCAAGATTTGTAATCTTTTACAACCTTAATGTTTGTTTTTCACAGAAAACGGCAAGGGGTGGTTTTATGGGGGCCTTGAGAATGTCTTGGGGGGGGGGGGCAAATTTGTTTTTATGCAAAAAAGAGACGGAAACATTAGAAATCATTTATAAAAATTTTTTCACCCCAAACACATGGTGTTAAAACCTTGTGGTCAAGCTCAGGAAAAAATGGAAAAACTCTCTTTCTGCACTTGGTAAAAAAAGGTATTCCCAATGGAAGGGAAAAATTAAGTTTCCTTCCAACTTGAAAGCATTAATTTTTTTAGGACATTTTTCTCCTCTATACCATTATCATAAACAACTTTTGCCAGCCAAATAAATAAATACAACCATAAAATAAACCATAAAAACAATTTTCGTAAAACTTTATTCTAAAAACTAGACACGTGGCAAACCTGAACAAAAGCCCTCACAAGCAAAAAAAAAGTCCAACATAAGTTTTGCAAAAGGTTAAAAATTTGGTCATAAACCAAAATATTAGCCAAAATGTTATATTGACCTGATGGTAGCACTAGATGATGTAAGAAGATTATTACAGTTACAAAATACTCTGGGGAACATAAATGTCTCCACCAAATTTCACAGCAATCCATGTAATGGTTTAAAAGATATTTCAATAAAAAACAAGAACGATAACTCCATGGTGGCACTAAAAGAAAAGTCAAGGGATTATAGAAAGTCAGTAACATACACCCTCTAGGTGTCAAAAATGTCTGTAACAAATGTTATGGCAATTCATCCTATAATTGTGGTAAAGTGGTGGACGGACCTATCGACATATTGGCACTTCCCTCCTTGAGCCATGCCACTAGCATGGCTAAAAATACTTTATGGAACTATATTACCAATTCCTGTTCCCCATGCTTTATGTGGTGGCCATAGTTTTACTGCAATAGGTCATGAGTGAATTAGTCATACATGTAGATTAAGGCATATCTGACATGATTAAAAATCAATCAAGCATTCCACTAATTCAAACATAAAGTCAAAAATCCAAAAACATCTAGCTGCTACGTTCCGCCTCTGATTTTGATTCTTGTCTTTGGAACGAGGCTGAACACAAACCCTTTGGTGACCCTGGCATTCCAAGGCTGATATCTCGACTGCTCTTCCGCCTAATATGTGCTCTTAAACTTCTCCCTGGCACCATCAGTAACCCCCCTCCTTCCTCTACCAAACCATCAAACACTGCTCCCAGACTTTGTCGTATCCTCACACAGAAGTTTGGGCAGCTGAAGGCGTACAAAATGGGGTTCAACACTGGATTCAAGAATGCAAAGGTTGTGGCTATGGGCAGCCCCACCTCCACCAGGTTGAGATTTTTCCTCCAGTACTGCGCTGTCACTTCGATTATGCAGAAAATGTGATAGGGAGCCCAGCACAGTGCAAATGCTGCAATCACAAATGACACCATCTTGGTGAAGCCCCTGGATAGCTGACTGTGATTGGTCTGATTAGCGGTAGTAGGGGAAAGGGTAGTAGGTGTCAGGGATAAAGATGGACCAGAGGCCAGAGGCTTGAGAAAGATATTTGTGTTTTTTGTGATTGTAGTACTTTTTGTAATTCCTGATGCTCCATCTTTGTTTGACACAACGAGTGCATCAGTGAGCCTGTTGGTACTCTGCGTTCTCCTCCTGCTCCTTTTCCTCAGGCTGAGACCAATTTGGATGTAGCTCCCCGCAATCACCACCAGGGGGAAGAGAAATGCTAGCAGCAACTTGGAGATGGCTGTTGCTGCCTGCCTCACTTCACAATCTCTCTCCAGATTGGTTGAATACATTGCAAAATTGTGATAGCACAGTTTCCTCCCATCCTCTTTCACAGTCACTGAGCGGAACACAAAGTAAGGTAATGTATTAATTGCTGCCCACAGCCAACCCAATATAGACACCTTCCATGCTCCTGCCACTGACCGATGATTCTGACTCCACACTGGCTTGGCCACCAGAAGGCAGCGGTCTAGTGAAATGGCTGCCAGCAGGAAGGCTGACACAAACATGTTTAAGAAGAAGATGGAAGCCTGTGTTTTGCAAAGTGGGCTGCCAAGTTCCCAACTATGTGAGGAGCCAAGGTAGATCGTGAAGAGGGGCAGCGTCAGAGTTGTCAGGAAGTCTGACATGGCTAGGTTGAGCACCCAGACAGAGGCCACAGTGCGGCGCTGAAGGCGGAAGCCAACCACCCACAAAATTAGGGCATTCTCCATTATCCCCAGGCAGGATACCAGACCATGAATGCAAACCACCACCAAATTGGCGTTTGTGTTGTTGTTGAGGTTGTGGTTCCTCATGATCTGTAGCAAGGGACAGAACTCTTCCTCTGAGGCATCAGAGGCAAAGGTGGTGTTTGACATCAGTGCTCTGAAAGAAAATACAAAGGCTAATGAAGAGTTACAGTTAGAGTTAAGAGGTACTGGTGCAAACATGATATTATTTATTTTCCCAGGAAGTCCTACCGAGATAAACATATCTTTGTTCTTGTTTGAAAGCTAAATCCTTGATACTTGTTTTTTTCTTGTTCTCAACTACAGTGGGGAGGGTTTCCAAGAAAAATGTGTTATGTTATAGTGATGTTGATGATGATGTTATGACTAGAAGACTTGCCCTTGCCTGTAGACATCTGATAAATCGTTAGTGTGTTGTTATTGAATGTTCAGTGACTAGATGAAATGAGTCTGTAATTGTCTGGCTTGTTAATCTTTATTGCTCAATTACAAATCTACTTTGCTGCAGAGGAAACTGTAAAGAAAACCTCAGCAAATGCAATCAGGGTTACATTTTTGTCTTTTTGACTGCACAGTCACGTAAGAATAACAAGAGCAAGAAAGACAGTGCCAGGACATTTCATGCATCATACTCATGGCCTGCTCAACACCCTTTCAAGTTGCATAATGACACAGTAATGTAATGACTGTCTTTGGCCTGGACATGCAGTTGAGAACTTCTACCATACCAGCTCTGTCACAATACACTGCAATACTACAGTTGCACTAGCTTCCTTGTATTCCTTATTGTCAAGAAACCAAATGAGAATAAAAATCTCTGCAGTATCTCTTTGAACAACATGTCAAAGCTTGTTCTTGTGGTTTAACCACATACCGGTAACTACGTATGCTTAGTTAAGCAATGCAGCCTGCCCATGTTTGAGAAGGAGATACCAGAATGCTGTTGCCAAGATAGGATAGGAAGGAGAAGCTTTCCTTTTACTGAAGAGACACAGCTTCTAAAGGAAAACAAAAAAAAAACCTAATATAATAATGCCTTGATCATCTTAGCTTACCCTCTGAGAGGAAGCAGAAAACCAGTGAACTCTAAGGAGTGTAACATATGACAGAGGTGGATCTGAAACAACAGAGCTAGTTTGGTAGATAAAAGTTGCAGATGTATCTGCTTACTGTAGCTTGTTCACAGTGGCATGAGCTAACAGAGCTGACATGGAGATGTGTGTCTATAGTTTAATAAGCAATTCTATTAATCAGCACAAACTGAACAACTAAACGACAACGAGACATACTCTGACTGACATCCCTTTAGGCCTATGATAATGAATAATGAAAAAATAACCGATATTCATTTCCATGTATTTCAAAGCCACAAGGAGCCACCGGAGAGGGGCTGAAGAGTCTCACACGGCTCCAGGGGCACAGGTTGCCTACTCCTGGTATGACCTGCCTGGTGTCTGTGACCTGATAGGGAACTTAATTTCCTCTGCCCTCTCCTAGTTTTTTTCTTGGTTGCAAATTTTTTAATTATTTCTGTATTTACATATTTTACACACAGTAGCATTAAAACAGTACAGTTCAGTAGTTAAGTTATGGTTATATTAGGTATGAAGGTACATACAATATATAGCAGAAATGTGCTATACAGTAGAACATGTAAATATTACAAAATATTTTAGAATGAAAATTACTCACTACTTACTTCAAATTCAGTGGTACCATTGTATTCTTAAATACCACCATGGTAACATTCTTAGTCACATCCACTTATCCTGACTACTTAGATGAGGTAAACAGCACCATGTCTGCACACGAATACAGACACATGAGCTAATATATCCATGACACAATACTGACGTGACTCCTTTCCCCCTCAAGTGTAAACAGCGTGGTCTCAAATCCGAGGGTATTTTTGCATGAATTAAGTTTTGAGTTGTGAATTTCTTGGTGTGACAACTGCCTTTAAAATTGTAAATTGAGAACTGAAATGGATGCTTTTTGGAAACGCTGAATATGCAGCACAGAGCAATAATGGTCAAAGTGAGCCATGCAGTACTTTAACACCAAGCTGTTAATCATGCAAGGTTCTTATTAATACTTCATTTTTATGATTAAATTTCCATGTGAACACACTTGTGTGTTATGGCTCAGTGTGCTGACCTTTTCACTTAATGAGTTCTCAGTGTATACATGACTCCACATTTCTACATCTCTATTTGTTTGACATTGTAACTGCTCTGCTGTTTGGTTGCTTTTGACATTTAATATAGATAATCAGTTGGCTTTTTATTACAGGTATAGGTTGCCCTAGCTAAAATGTAGACACCAGGTAGACAAAATATGAGAAACATCTCTCCATAACTAGTTCAACGGCCTCATAAAATACAGCCTCCACAATGACCATAAAGTTGAATCAACATCTCTCCTAAATAGTTTCAACAGAAAACTAAACAGTGTAACCTTCATAAAGGTAGGATGTATTGCATAGCTCTGTTACTAGACTGCACACATTTTCTGGTAGGTGTAGCATATAAACTGGCAACTGAGCGTATACACTGCATGTTTATCGAGCAATCAATCAATTCAATATTGTAACAATCTGTAAATCTCACAGCACATTCTGATGTGAATTCCTAGTATTGAATGTATCTGCAGATTACTGATAGAGTGTGATATGTGGTGATAGGATCCAGTATATTATGTGAGAATCTATTCTTTCTGCAAACACAAAGAGCTGTTTGTCTTGTAGATAAAACAAATTACTAACCCCGCTCACATGCATGATATGAAACCAAAACTGCGAATTATAGAAAAAACACACTACTTACTATGGGAATATTAGGGCAGCATGGAAAAAGTAGATTTGCTACAACAACAACAACACCAAAACCTATTAACAACAACTGTATACAAATTATAAAGTACAATGGTATATAGTGTAATAGAAGGTACACATTCAACATTAACATGCACTGATGATTATAGGAATCATCATGGTTCTTATTCCTAATGGCAGCTAAATACAGTCATAATAGTGCTGGGAAACTGAAGTAATTTAAAAGTATTTGTAACACTCACCTAGACGTTGGCTTACTTTCACACGGAAGAGAGAAAGTCACAATCTTTCTTTCAAAATTCCTGTTTTGTCACTCATCCTCCCAGTTCTGTCACTTTCTACAGCTCCTGTTTTGGACACGCCCACTGAATCCCTGCCATCACCCCCCCGCCCCGGACCAGCACACACACACACACACTCATACCTTTCCTTACTCCACCCTATATGCAGAAGACTTCTGATAAGTGCATAAGGCTGTGGACAGGAATGCAGATTTTACTGAAATTTAAATTCAGACAGGTGTAGAAAGGTTGAAGAATGAAAAAAATACATAAGAGAAATACAGAAAAACAGAATAGGAAATGAAATATGATATGTGTCATATGTTTGAGTATCTGCCAGGTCTGGACTTGTGGGAACTAGTTCCCCTGATGCCCTGTAGTTCATACTGTGCTGCAGTTTTCATGACATGAATACATTGCATCAACACGGAGTATAAATCTGTTGAAACATCCTTAAACCTCACATACTCTTTGTGTAGTTAACAGTCCTACTCCTTTAACTACAACAACAAAATTGAAATGAGACTTCTGACATATCACAGTATATTTTAGAGCAAAGTGTGAAGAGGAGAAAACTGTTTTGTGTAATGGCTACATACGTCTCTGGCACCATCTGGTGGTGAACACGACTCCAAACACCTCTCACTTACAGTCTCCCCCTTTTGTGTGCTTACACAGGGGAGATCAAAGATGTTGAGACAAACCAAAAACCATATTGTTTAGTGTAAAGTATGTAAAAACAATACAAATAGCTGCCATTTAAATAAAATATATTTGTATGGTTAAAAAAGATAGGGGTTAAAAAAGCATAGCCTATATAAAAACAGAAACTGGAGTGCTTGAGTACTTATATGCTTCCAGTAATATAGAGGACCCAGGCAGTAATTTGTTTATGGAAGTGTCTTGAGACTATAAGTACCATGTTTTAATTTAATATTCCCTTTATTTTTAGTCAGTTAATATTTTTTTTCTGAAATGATAATGTTCATGTATTCAATGAACATTACTCTGAACCGTAGAGCTTTGTCAGTAAAATGATCAGTTAATGGGGCTGAGATGCATCAGGTTGTGTTTCACCAAATTACAAGACAGTATATACCAATCAACGGATTAAACACTAATACGTCACCTTACATTACATTTGTGGCTTTATGTGTAACACTGGAAAATAGTGCTAGTGTAATTTAAAAGTAAGGGGATTTATATTGTATTTAACATCAATCAGCTGTTTGGCCTTATATAGTTCTTCCAAAAACAGTCACCATCTACACCGACAACCACAGATGACTGTACCTTGACGGTAAAACCATACCATGCGTTGTACCATGTATGTAACTATGTATTTGTCAAGATATTGGTCATATGTTTGGCAAGACATCACAAGATCCTAATAAGTTATTGAGCTAGCTGGAATATGTTTCAGGAATTTATAGATGAGTACACTGTCAAAGTCTCAACAAATTATAAGAAAGAATGCAAAGTTGTGGATAAAATGTATTTCATATTTCATTTTGTGAACTTTTTTGCATCATCTTGCCCTTGACAGGCCTTATGGAGTTGAGAGATTATTGCTCTGGTTTGTACTTTTACCAGTTTGTAAAGTCATGCGGCCAAGCAATTTATATTATTACTTTGACAAAGTATTTATAAAAAAAGAAAATATTAATAATGTGATGCTTCAATTGAAAGTCTGGCAGTAAAGATGAGGACAAATCAATTCTATGAATATGTCAAATTCTGACCTCAGAACAGTTAAGACTATAATCCATCCCAGCTCCCTGGCAAGCTTTAATCCTATCGTGTATCCTGTATACAGGTCAGGGTGACCAGAATGAAATGAAAAGTACATCTAATAGGGTCTACATGTATGTGCACAGTTCCCACACAGTTAAACCAAATTTAAACCAGAAAACAACTGACTTGTTGACGGTTGACAGAAACAGTGATGATGAAAATACCCCAACAAAATAATTCATAACATAATAAAAGTCAAGAATAAGATCTATCTTTTATCTAATATTGTATTTCTATTTCTCTAAGAAATCAGTAGTGTAATAAAATAAAATTTCCTTGTTAAAGTTTTCTAATTAAATCAACCTGTAAGCAATTTCCATTGTCGTAAACTACTATTTATACAATAACTGTTTTAAATAAATGGTAAATATAATTTATTTTGTTTTTTACACATTATTTTAATGTTTACAGAAAAATGTTGCAAACATTACATTACAAGAATTGGAACCCTTTGTGGCTTTCAGTTCACTAATCAATGAGAAATCTCTAAAAAACAATTAAAATGAAATAATAAATAAATTAATTAATTAATTAAGAAACTTCTCATGTCACATTCTGTACATTGAATAACTTGACTGGGCTATAAATAGAAAGATATATTATATATTATTTTCTGTGAAAAACACCAGGATATTTGAAAGAATGCCAAAGATCAAGCTTCTAAAAATCAGAAAAATGTTGTTTGTTATGTATATCTCTCGCCTTTGCCTTTACACAATTGTTTTGGATTTGGCTTATACAAATTCTCTCTTCCTGCAGATTGATCATGACTCCAGTGCTGGGCATAGCCCTGCTGACTTTGGTCCTATCAGGGCCCACCGTGGCTTTTCTCTCCATCCAGGGTGGGGCATCCACTCATATCAGCATTACAAGAACGGCTCTATTGCAAAAAGTGACAGAGACATGTCAGAAAGTGGCTGCGACAGCTCGTCATGAGTTCAATCCCACGGTAGGATGGAAGAAATAATGGAAGAACCAATGTGCAAGACAGCACAAACAAAGGCTATGTTCCCACTGCGGGCAAAAGAAATCACATTGAATCTGATCTTTTCAAATCTGATTTAGGCCACTTTCATATTTGGTCCAAATCAGATGCATGTCTAATTTTTTGCAAAGAGACCTGTATGAATGGTCATATCAGAATTCATGTGGCTTTTACACCACTCAACATTCGTCATGGGGGTCACTTCATGACTGTGACCTGATCACACTGGCATCTGATATGGGCCACATTTTAAAAGTAATGAAGTATGTAGTGAACAGCCAGCCATCTGAACCATAAATCTGAATTAAGTGCTAAGGCTTACAGTGTGAATGTAGCCGCACTAAACACACACAAGCACATTTAAAAATATTCACAAATTCACCCTGATTTCAACACATTTGTTTGTTCAAATTCAGCAAGCAGTGTTCAGTTAGTTGCAATCTGCAACTTCACTACTAGATGCCACTAAATATTACATACTCCATCATTTAAACCTGGAATCTGTGAGTATACCTTCTGATGTTTAGGAAAACACACAACATTAATTTCTGTGAGATCCTGGCTGATCCTGTCATAAATTACATTAAATGAAGGTGCTGCTGCTGTACCACCCACCATACAAACTGTGTTTGTCCATGAGCTGACTTTGTGCCTGCAAACAAAAAGGGCCATAGTCACTTCATCATATCCTTTGTGACAAACATGGCTCAATTTTAAAATCCCTATGTGCACATCTGCTGTTGTTTAAATTGTGAAACTTTGACCTCTGACAACAGGGTTCGTCTCCTGAAGAGCTGGTCCAGGCCTGTCTGGGACCCACAGCAACAGGAGAAGTGTCTGGTGCCAAGTTTCACTCCGCTCTTCAAGAAATCTACACCCAGAACGGACTGGTAGACCGTGACTTTGTCAACAGGTAAGAGAAGAGGACGAAACAAACAAAAAGCAATACAATAATGGGACTTTTGTGTTGATGTGATTTAAATATGATTTCCTTTCACACATACCAAAATTCTCTTAGTGCTCCACACCACTTCAACTCAGAGGCCTTTCTGGAAGGACGTGGCCTAATCAGAGAGGGCATGGCGGCCATTAAAGCTAACATTGGCAAAGAGAACTTCCAGGCTGCCAGGGAAACACTGGGCAGAGTCCTTCATACACTACAGGTGAGATGGTCAGAATGACACAGCTCGGCATAGAGAGGTTAAAGGGCAAGGGGAGGAGGACTTGGAGTAACAAACAAGCATCTACTGAATGAAAGAATGGAGGAGGCAGAATGAGAGAAAAATTAGACTGAAAGTTTGTTATGGTGTGTATAAATAGTTACTATGAAATCATAACTCTGACTATGCTTTCTCTCCCAAGGCAGGACAGCAAAACAAAAAGTGAGCCTCATTCTTAGTGTCACCTAGATCACACAACAGTCTGTTAATGTGTGTGTTTCAATGCACTGCCAGGACTTCTATAGCCACAGTAACTGGGTGGAGCTGGGATACACAGAGCCATACATCAACCTCATACGCCCAGACCTTCCTCTGGAAAATCTGGCAGGTGTGTGTGTGTGTGTGTGTGTTTGTTATTGTTTTCATATAGGACATGTTGTTTTATCTCACGTGTTTTATCTCTATGCCATGGCCACAGAAAAGACTTGATTCTGATTGGCAGTGCTGTAGTTTCTTTATGTGGACCACTGTGTGACCTGTTGTAAACTGGACTCTAAAATTTATTCCATCATAACCATCTTTGTCAGAACAGCCAACCTACTTAAATTAGGTTATGTTTACTTACCTTGGTTCAGAGTTAAATGAGTCTTATACATTGTGCGTTCTGTGCCTTTTGCTTGTGTAGATATCTACACTGCCACCTGCAGTGACTGTGCCAGTGGAAAATGCCCCAATCCCATCCTCCCCAACATCCTGAAGGAAAAGAAACTCACATCAGGCTACATGGGAATCTTCTCTGCTGCCAAGCCTAAAGGTATCTGTGACATATCTCATATTCAAACACATAGGGCCATACTCACTGATGCAGTGCAATGTGTTTTAATTGCCCTCAAAGAGAACATTAACTTCCACAGCTAGTCAAGACATGTAGACATTATTTGAGACCATTATTACTTGGATACATGACCTGACAAACACACCATTATAGAAACAAAGCAGACAAAGCAAGAAGATATTTCACTTACTTTACTAAAGGAAACCCGGCACGTCCAGCATCAAACTTCATGATCCATGCTAAATAGCTATTTAAACCATGTCCCAGTTCAAC